CCTGAACACTACGCCTTCCTGCCTGTCCACAAGTGTCCCCAGGAGCAGGGTCTCCTGCCCCACACACTTGCATAGAGAAAGTGGCCACTTAGGATGGGATGAGTTAACAGTAAAGTTAGGTCCTTCCCTACTTTCTCTTGTCTCCCCCCAAATTAAAAAAAGCTATAATACTGAGAAGACCAGAAATTTCAGCTCCCACCTGCTCCTCTTGGCCTGTTTCAGAACCCTTCCCATCACCCCTTCCCCTAAATTTCTAGCCCTACGGACCATCTATCTCGCTTCCCCTCAACCTGTGTGACCCACCTGTCAGGAGCAGCACATTGCAGATGGGGCTGAGCAGTGATGGGGACATTTTCTGTCTGCCAGGCAGGCAGAGGCATCCCAGTCCCAGACACTATGTCACCTGTCAGTGCCCACCTGGGGCCCCCACAAGTGAGGCTGGTGGCTTGGAGATAACCTGAGATGGAAGATGGGCAAAGATTGCACAAATAAGGGTTTAATTGGCAATCAATTGTGATTAGGAGTGAAAGGACATCTTTATAGCCCCAGACTCCCTGGGTTGGTTATCAGGAAGGGGAGGAGGGGGTGCCTCTTGTCTCTGGGGTATGGTTGCTGCTCAGGGACAGGGACCGGCTTGTGAGGGTACAAGAGGCTGCTATGAGTTCCTCACATCCCCTACACATCACCCTCCCAAGGGAAGCCATGGAAGCACCCTGCTAGCTCTGGAGGACCTGCCCCTACTCCCCAGCCTGAATTCAGATGGGCAGCTCATCACCCTGCTTGCTGCGGCCCCATTAGGATGTGAAGGGGAATGGCAGGTGAAGATGGGGAACCTTGGTACCTGCACATTTTTTAATGGTCATCAGCCCTGAACCAGCCCTCCATCAGCAGGGAGAGCCCTTGGTGCTGTGCTGGGAAAACCCTGTACAGTTATATGTTATGCTACGCTAGATGATCCACTACGCTCATTACACTTCCGATTTAAAATGTTGTGTAGTGATAACCGTCATGCGTTTATACTGTTTACACTGTATGAAACCCGTGTGTCTGTGTTGTCTCGAAAGTTGTCGGAGGGCCAGGTTCGGCACCCATTTCTCCCTCTACCTGTGGGTGTCTGGACCTCGGCTACCCACTGGGTGTGGGCTGTGGTCAAAACACTGGTGACCAGTGCTTGTGACCTGCACTGTGCGCTCACAGAGGTCTGCCCAGCTGTCCCCTTCCCTCCCCAAGGGAGCAGTGGAGGGGCTGGTGCCCCCTGCCCCCCAAGAGTTCTAAGGGGTACAAGCAACCAGGAGCTGGTTGGGAGGAGGAGGGAGGGGGACATCATGCACACTCAGGAGCCGTGCCCAATGCTCCTGCGGCTGGATGCTCATGAATGAATTGGTGATTGTGTGCTTGTGTGCTTGTGAATGAGGGTGTGTGTGCGTGTGTGTGTGAATGGGGTTCGCACATCTATATTCACACTCAGTTGGGGAGGGGAGGGAGTGAACGAAGACCTAGGTGGGGGCAGGAAGGAGATAATTACCTCGCTGCGATGAGAGATTACCCACCCTCCTTCCCCAGAGGTGATTTATAATTTAAAGATAAAGAATAATCAAGTCCTGGCAAGGAAGGACACAGTGTTGTGAGTCTGATTAGATCACGGGATGGGCCAGCACTCGGGGAGAGCGGGAGGGGGAGGGCTCCCGGGCCGCCCCAGCCCCCACCTCCCCGAGGCCAAGCAGGTCCGAGCTTGGCCCAAATTACAGCCAATCGGCCCCCCATTATTTCTCCCAACTTTTAATTTCTGCTTCCGAAGGATCATTGCCCGCGGTAATTGCAAAGGACCCGTCCTTGCGCGGAGCAGGCTCCGGGGACATAGCGGGGAGGCGCGCACTCACCCCGAGGCCGCGCGCGCGCTCCACCGCCGGCTCCCACCTGGGTCCCCCGGAGGCGGTCGGCTCCTTGGCTGCTGCAGCCGAAGCAGGAGGGCGACGCGGGCTCTGGGCTGCACCTACGAGGGTCGCGGGGCCCGTCCTGCGACTGTCGCCGCTGAGGACGCAGCGTGTGCAAACACTCGTCGCGTGCGACCTGCCCACTTGGCCCGGCGTCTGTCCTGTTCTTTCTGGAAGAAACACGTTTCCCTTATTTGAGGGGTTCGGCGCTGGCGCAGGCCGCCGGCCGCACGCTGGCCATCTCGGCCCCGCACGTGGGGCGGGGGCGGGGGCGAGCCCAGCGGTCCTCGTTCCCGGCTTCTACTTCGATCGCGCGGTCCGGGCCGTAGCTCCGCCCCCGCGGGGACTCGGCGCGGCCCCACTTGGACGGCGCGCAGTGGGGCGGGCGCCGACCGAGGGCTTGGGACCCTGCGCCCGCGCCAACACGCGCCA